TTGCTATTGCTATTGCTATTGTAATGTATTTGTTTATCCCAGTTCACCAGGAGACAAGCTAGATTATGTGGACCCCTTACCTTCACATTACATTTTTATTCAGGGCAGGAGTGGGTTGCTGCCAGTGTTACTGCCAGTTCAGTGTGTGTGGAGTGCATGTGCAGAACATTAAAAATGGCAAAAAAAAAAAAAAAAAAACCCATGTCGCAGCGAACAGAGAACTGGTTCGGGGGCATGGTGAGCCTGCCGTCCCTACTGTTTCGGGGACCCAGTCACAATTTCCACTACCGGTTCACCTGAACCGGTGCAAACCGGTAGCAACCCACCTCTGATTCAGGGCAGCAAAAAGTATCACTATGTCATATAAATTAATGTGTAGAGAGTAGACACCATTTTCAGTTCAAGTGATGACCTGTTTTTAGTATCCTAAATTACGTTTGTAAAAATTCATACTCTGGATGTTTTCCTTGGCAAGAGGGGGCTGGCAAAAGTAATGCATAAGCCACATCCTCTGCAAAGTGTGTGTATGCAAACTTTGTCAAGAAGAGTATCAGTGGAAATGAGAGCTCAATCCCCCCCCCCCCCCGGATCGCATTTGCCTTTTTACCCATAATTACTTGCTTTTAAAACCTTTTCTCCAGAGAGAATTCTGTCTGGGCATGGAAAACAACCCTGCTTTTAGAAAAAGAAAAAAAAGTATGCCCACTTAAAGTAGTTTTGTGGAGGAAGGGTGAACAGGAAATTCAGCTCTTCACATTTGGCCATATTGTACTTCAAATTGTTCCTTTCCCCCACCTTCCTAGAGATTTAGCCACTGATCCAATTTTGCTGCTGTCATGTCTAATTTGGTCACAAAAGTTCATGTTGGAATATTACAGATCCTGGGGTTAAAGTATGTTCTCTTTCTGAAATTCGGATGTATTTTAGAGATATTATTCTATTAACTGTTGCTGTTGGTTTGTTTCATCTGTTTTTCATAATACGCCTTAACAACACTGCTTAATCTTTTCCCTGAAGCAGCCATTCATCATTAAGGTTTCAGACAAAAGCAGAAAAACAAGCCTTTCTTTGCTGCAATAGGACATGAACGAATGGCAGCATTGTGGCTGAGATTTGTGATTGGCTGAAGGAGATCACACCCTTGGAATCTGTTTATCCCTAAAAGCAAGATAGAATCTTCTCTGAATTTCAGAGAACCTTTTATGCAATGCTTCATATTCAAACAAACATGATTACAGTATTTGCAAATTATTTGGGTGGGTTACTAATGAATAAGGGGAATGAATAAGTGTTTCTTTTGAGAACAGTAAGTCCTTTGACTTGTTGTTTGACAGTACAGTTGTATACGTGTCTACTTGAAAACAAAATCTATTCCTTTCATGGTGATTTGTTTTCCTGGCTATCACATATATAGGATTGCAGCTTCAGGTTTTATGTAGTGGGTGGTGATGTAAGCATGCTAAACTATATGTTAAGTTTTAAAAAGAAATTTAAAATTATTTCTCAAATAGTAAAGATGGCCAGAGAGATAGTATAATAATTTAAAAAGAACATAGTTGGTTACATTTTTGTATATATCTATTCATGCACAAAGTTTAAGGCTCTGCTATTTAATTGCAAATTGTGTGTTTGAGGAAGCAAGCAAATAGTACAAACACTTTATTAATATTCTTAATTTGAAATTCTATGACATTTTCTGATTGTGGGTGGCTAGTGTAGGCTGCAGTTTCTCAAATATCCCTTATTACACTTGATTTTAAAACAAGTGTTTTTATAAAATGCTAAAATAATACTATGATTGTGTGAGCGAACAGTGTTAGGTTTTTACAAACCGGCCTCTCTTTAATAATATGGAATTGTTTAGATAGCCCAGGGAGAGGCTTTGGTTATGATCCATGTTCTGTATGCATAAGTGGTAAGAATTACAATTCTGTAGTTGTTTTTAGGGACACCACTTCTTAAATTTTTCTTGCATTAAAAAAAAACAATTTAGGAATCCTAGCTGTCTAGGGAAAAATAACTGCCAATGGGCGCATATTATTTTTCCACTGAATATTATTTAAATTGTTCTCACGCCAAGTTTCCAAATTGTTTCTGAGAATAATGCATGTAAATTTTCTGCATAGTGACAGTGGTCTAGAATTCAGAAGGTTGCACATTCTTTTCCTGTGAAGCCACTTTGGTAATTAATTTGACAGAATCCTGAACTATTACTCTCAAATTTCAAAACCAGAGTTTATTTGCTGCCATATAAAAAAACCTGGATTAAAGGCATTGAAATACAGAAAAAAGAAGAAAGGAAAAGGTGAAAATACCACTTTTCTATTTTCTTCTTCATTTTCTGCTTTAGAGAAGCAAACTAAGTATTTTCCATTTTGTTCTGTTTTAGAAGTCAGTATATAAGTATGTTTTAATAGCAAGCAGAAACACTGATGCAGTGTCCTGTTAGAAAAATATCAGATGCCATTTTGTAAGAAATTCTCTGTTTTACTGATATCATTAAAAAAACCAAAAACCTGAGGCCTTTTTTGATTGTCATATTGAAATTGCAGACCTCTGCTGAAGGAAGTTGTTCTGGTAGTGGTAAGAATGGGGCTATAATTAAACTGTGAATTTGGAGTTTTAGTTACTTGCATATCTAATAATTGAATTATTTTTCTTTCCAGTTTCAGAAATCCTTTATATTATCCCTTTCCCATTTTCTGTAAATGGTGCTTTGTTTCTTACCTTATACTGTTCAAATATAAATGTATTTTAACTCATTTGATTAAAGGATTCATTCCAATTTTCTGTTGTGATCCTACTAGATTGAAATGTAGTTTGTTAAAACGCTTTGAATTTTGGTGGCAAGCAATAAATACTGGTTTTTTTTATTATAATGTGCCTATATTTCCAAATATCTTTATTTGGGGAAGGGTATGGCATACATTGCACTACAAGAAATTTCCATTACTATTCGTTACTTTAAAAATGTAACAAATCTGCTGTTACCTGTCACTAAGCAGGAATCTTCTTTAGGCCTGTGACCTGTTGGCGGAACTATACAGTTGTAACACTCTTTCAATAGAGCCTTAGACCTGTGGAATAGCTTAAATAAGTTGGANACTGCACGTCACTGTTAAAAGGGATGAAATGTGTGTGGTCCTTAAGATTGTGTTGCTGAACTTCACCTCAGATCAGCCCCTAGCCAGCATGACCAATTATAATGCTTGCATGAGGTTTAATCAAACATGGAAGATTATGTGTTGCTCGCACTTGACTTTAAAAATATTTTTTTTTCATAATGTAGCCACCTTGATCCTATCAGAAATGTTTTAGGTGGTTTGGCAGGTTTAAGTACTAGGATGGTAAAACTGTTTTGCTATTTAAGCTGTAAGTTCTGGAGGAGCTAAAAGTTAACAGACAAATCATATGGAATAGCATGAATGCAAGCCTGATCAGTGCATAAATACCAAAATAAATTGGCTTCCTTTATCTCTGTTATGAATTTATCTCCTCTGGTTTGTTATATTATGTAATACCATCATGTTGATACAAAAACAATTTTGCTTCTCTTCTCTGCTGTTAAGTTGGGCAAGCATGCACACCACAGTTGCAATGATAACATCAGAAGAGAATCAGCATTTGGTGATATCACCCACCTATAGCCTTTGCATGGTTGCAATGATTAGGTAAGATCCACAGTAATGAAGCTGAAATTATTCAAGACCGTTTAGTGTTAGGCAAACTGCATTAGAAAATGAGAGGCTACTTAATTCTTCGCCTTTTTCACTTTGCTTAACAATCCCTGCATAGAAAAAGGACTGGAAAGGCCTGACAATGATTTTATTAAAGTACTCTTTCCAAGAGCTCAATTATTATTGTTCTATTTACCGGTATATAGTATTTTAAAATTCAGGCCCACAGTAAAAGTTTAGCCTGGTGAACTTCCATGCATTCAAAGTGGTTCTTTGTGTTAAGGTAATATAGAGTCTGTATAATCTTTATTATCTAAAGTTTAGATTCTAAACCTTTCCTAGAAACTTCTTAGAAACAGAATCACAGAATGTAAAGTACCTTTCCTGCTAAGCTGCTTATATAAATCTGTAATACCTATACATTATTTATACTTATAACTGTTATCTAATTCATACTTGACGAAATAAATAAAGAAAAAAGATACAAAATGTCCCTTATAAAAATCAGCAGAGGGTACAATAATTTCTGGTACTTTAAGGCTAATACTGTCTTATACAAAAGTTACAATGAACTTGAAAGTTTTGAGAAAAAGCTTGAGTAAACTCGTCCGCTTCATCCTATGGCATTCTACCCAGATCCAAAAAATGCTGACGCCACCGAACGAAAAACAAAAGAAACCCATCCAGGTTTTTCATTTTATGCGCCCACGTGATTGACTCATGAACTCTCCTCCCTTCCCCCTTTTAAAAGGGATTTTTTTCCCGGCCTCGGATTTAGTTCTGATTCTGCCCGATTGGCACTACAAATCCCAGATACCGCGGGAATACTTCACGTTGATTGGCTGTTTCTAAAAAAAACGGGATTGGCTGGGGCGGATCCCTGTCGCGTTCCCTCCGAGGCGCGTGGTTCGTGTAACTTTACGCCTTTGGCGGCCGCCTTCTGGATCGGGGTCGGGGAAGAGGAGCGGGGATTTCTGGAATCGGGTGCAGGACGCTTACCTTCACCTGCTCCTATACTTGCGAGTCTCCTTAGGTAAGATCTCATATCAGGTTCACACACACACTGGTCTTTGCATACTTGGCTCTCCCCCGCACTCCCCCCCGCGACTCCTATCTTGGCTCTGCTGCCCAAGGCGAGAAATAGAAGGGAGAGAATATAAAGGGAGTTCGGGCTTCATTTTTTTCTTCCCCTCCGGAGGGTGAAAGTGGCTCGCAGACCTAAGGAAGGAAGCAACTAACTGCGAGTCGTGGAAGTCAGCCGCTTTTTCATCCCCTTCCTAGTGCAGTTTGTGCGACAAAAAAACAAAACACCCCAGATTTCCCAGTCATTCCCCATGCAAGTTTGTAGTTGGCTCGGGATTATGGAAGTCGAAGTATCCGCTGCCTGACCGTGGCAGAAAACTTGGCGCTGCTCGGGCATGCAAACGGAGGGATATCTAGGGATTGACAGGTAACCCGGTGGTGTCGGCCTCCCCTATTCTTTAGCCGTTCTCCTAAAGCAGCGGTCCCCAAACTTGACAACTTTAAGACATATGGACTTCAACTCCATATGTCTTAACGTTGCCAAATTTGGGGGGCTCTGTTCTAAAGTCTTCCTTGTGTGATTCTTCCAGAGAAGGCTCACCATGAGGACGCCGCCCACGAACTGAGACTTGAAAGAGTGGAGGATCGTTTTTTTGTCCAAGAATGGCTGAGGGAGATGGAGAAGTGAGATGGGATGGGCTGTGCAGCCGGGATGCCAGCGCAAGAGTCAGCGCCTTGGAAAACATAAAGCAGGTGGTCCTGAAGAAAAGCCAGGCAATGGCTCTGGACCAAGGCGGCGGATGTCCTCCAGCTGCAGGAGGGCTCCTGCCCTCTGCAAATAGTGCGCCAAGTGAGCTGAACCAAATGCTTGCTCGGCTGCTCACACTTTCCAAGAGATGCCCTTTCAGAGATGTGCAAGAGAAGACTGAGGCCATTCTGAAGCACGTTCAGGTAAAAAGCATGATTTTATAACCACCTGCTCTTCATTACGCTTTGGTTGTCTTGCCTATCTGACACTTGGCACCCATGAATGGGACCTGGAGTGGCAGTGATCAAACAGAACAGTGACCTCGGGGGTAAACATCACAGAATCATAGAATGATGGTGCACACATGCTCTTTAATATGAAAAGTCAGCATATAAAAATATAATCTGCAAAAATCTGAGACAAAGTTTTTTCTTCATTGTTTAGCGTGAAATCGGACAGTAAGCTGAGGCATACAAAGCTTTTATCTAATTATTTTCTGTGCCATTAAAGGGCTATGCAAAGGATAACTATCATAAGCACAACATACGTTGTATCAAAATGTAAGTTATATGATTAGATTTGCAAGACATTCAATATATGAACTGTGTGTGTGTGTCTGTGTGTGTGTGTGTATATGTATGTTATATGTATGTATGTATAGTTAGTTAGTTAGTTAGTTAGTTAGTTAGTTAGTTAGTTACACTGTATCCCACAGTGATATGCATTTCTGGGTGATTAACTTGTTGAAGATTTACAACAAAATGTATTAGGACTGGTCTACTTTTTTTCCCCTAGTAGATATGAGGATTAGAAATGTTTTGGATGAGAGATTTACCTAATTCATCATCCCATTCTCACATGTGAAATCTATTAACAGTACATGGGTAAGATAGCAAGTATGGAAGGACTTTAGTTCTGCTATCTTAGAATATTGAGATAAAAGAACTGAAGAACAAAATAATGGGTTAAAAGTATGTAAGTATGTATATGTGTGTATGTGTATATATATATATATAT